AATTTGTTACACATTGATTTATAGTGCAGTTTGCATAACAAAGGCAAATAAAGAGCAAAATTACTTTTAGAATATTGATTGATTATAACTTTCCTGATTTTTGCTACAGGTTTATGCTGAGAATACATGCTGTTTAAGTGAAGGGAGTGATCCTCAAACGGGAACAACATGGTCCAATCAATCGGGTGAATTCATCAATCATTTAGTTTCTAAAGATTGGTCATGTGACCCTATTATTATGGCCATATATACACCTCATTATTATGGTCTGTGTAATGCCACATCATACGAATTGAATAAGCCATGGGCATATGACAAACCATACAATATACTTTTGTATTTATGTATGTATAATTATATTCGTTCAGTGCCATGGTCGAAGTGACGCAACTTGATGAATCTATAAATGTGATCGTTACGTCGAGGTAGATTGATTGGCCCCGTGCCAACTACACATTTTAACCGTATTGATTGTCGGTGATCTGAAGACCGTTATTTGTTTGTTGTAACTAACATGACTTTATTTCTTTTTGTCACAATAGAGTCGGCTGTGATCATATGGATCTCCGTTCTTTGTGCAGTGCTTGTTATCATAGTGTTAATTCTACTGTTGCTGTTTGCAAGACGGTAAATATACGTCACATGACATCTAATTAACATTATGTAATTGATTCCCGTACAAAAAAATAACACCAATTGTTTGTTTCGTCAGTTGCAGCAAAAAGAAGAAGATGGCATCACAAACAGGTAGGTGAACTCTGTCACGTGACAATGACAACAGTTAATTAGCCCGTGATATGGATTGTTATATTACCGTATATATACAACATTTCTAAGCTACTATGTTTAAAACATTTAGCACGGAATGCACTATTGTATCACTTAGACCTCCATGACTATTTTCGACTATAACTGTTAGGCGCACTGAGAGCATGATTTGTTTACTATTTCCATGGCTGCCATAACACCCAACTTGTCTGTATACATTAGCATATATACATTCTTTCTAACCGCTTTTTAATTAAATAGAAAACGTTTGTATAATACCCAAGTTTTTTTTGTCACAAGAAAAAACTAAGAAGGTAACTACTATCACCATGAAATTGTTTTCCGAGTACTGCAACTTTACTCAACTATATTCAGAAGTTAACTCATATTCAGTCCGAACTCCTATATAATCAAAACTGTTACATTTGCATGTATCCTTCAAAGATCTACTTGATAATGGTATTCAAGAGCATACGTCATCGACGGCGATTGAGTACGAGATACCAGACAACATGAAATTGTCAAGTAACCTGATTAAAGTAGATCGTTTGGCAGAATACATGAAAATGATGAAAGATGCTGATGGAGATAAGAACGATAACCTACGGGAAGAATTCAAGGTAAGTGGAGATAAATCAGAATAAATGATCCGTGGTACATCGTGGCCATTTCACAATGTAATCTCATCCTTACAATTAATTAAATACAAATTTAGTATATTTTTCTTATTATTGATTCACTGTTAAAATAATTCTGTACTATGGTATTGGTGATATATGAATTGGGTGCCATAGGATGGTACTTGATGGCCAACCAATCTAATCCAATATGTAGTTTGCATTTTACGTGTGCAAAATAAGTTATTAGGAAACTAGGATATTAGGATATTAGTAGCAGCTGTTTTATACGCATGCGCACTGGCCGATCCTGTCAAATCTGTTTTGGGGCGTGTGAAAGAAATTGCTTCAGCCATTGGGTAACGAAATTAACTTGTTTCGGCGTGAAAACCGCTGTAAAGTGGCGGTAAAATGAAATGACAGAAATAAAAGACACGCCTACAGTTGGACAACCAATCATTTTATTATTGGTCACAATGTACCACGGCTCATATCCACGTCCATTGTAAACACCACATACACGATGTGCCGCCATCCAATGTCGGGAAGAGCGGGTTCCTTTGTGCACAATCAGCGTCAACTTCATGAGAAAAACACGACGCACTTACCTACTATTTCATCAATAACCAAATATACTATTATCCTGTTCCCGAATTGGACATTTGTTTATTTGCAGTAATTTATTTACAATTCCACGCCAGGTACTTAGTAATTAATGATTCCACGTATTTATTTGGCCGTTATTTTACAGATGTAAAATGCCATAATGTTAATTCGCGGAAAGTTAAATATACTGATAATGAATTAAAAATTTGCCTAAAAATACTAAATTTGCTATCCCATGGAAATAATTGAAATCAAAATATTTGACAATATATTACGTTTTGCGTCACATACACACGATTGAAATATCATATAAAATGGGTCTAATATACTATGTTGTAATATACTATGTTGTATTTATTTAATTGTAAGAACGAGTTTACATCCTGAAATGGCCACGATATACCACGGATCATAAATAGAAATAAATAAATAGATGGAAATAAACAAAAATGACAAACATGATGCAATACTTGACAAAAATTATATGTAAGCGTCAGTTGAGCTAGCGAACTTAATTTAATCAGTGATTGTTCTTCAATTTATCAATATTTCACTAAGGTCACGCACATATGATATAAAGTATGTCTGCTTTCTGTTGATTTTATTCATTATAGCGTTTACCTGTTGATCTAACTGCACCATGTCATGTTGGAAAAGCTGAACTCAATAGAAGCAAAAATAGGTTCAAGAACGTCATAGCATGTGAGTTTGCAACTAAACATTTTGATATGCAGATACTGCACATATACATTCGTTCATTTTAATATTATGTCGGTTTTAATGTATTGCATAGCACTTGACATATTTATCTGATTGAAATATTAAAATCATAAATAAAATAAATACTCAAATAACTTCTTGCAGATGACCATTCCCGTGTTGTCCTTCAAACCACGGGAAATGATCTGGGTTCTGACTATATAAACGCAAGTTACATCGATGTGAGTATTGTAACCAGTTCATAAATATGTACATTCAATTACAGTTACAATAACATCTATGTAAATTATTATCCATGTATATATGTTTATTTTAACAGGGGTACAGAAAGAGCAATGCGTATATAGCAACTCAAGGTAGG